GTGCTGGGATTAAAGGTGTGCGCCACCAATGCCCGGCTGAATCTTTTGTTGTTTGAGGCAGGGTTTCTCTGTGTAAAAGCTCTGACTGTCCTGGAACTCACTTTGTAAATCAAACTTAACTCTACCTGCCTCTGCCTCCAGAGTGCTAGGATTAAAGGTGTGTACCACCACTGTCCAGTGTGACAGTTTTTTGTTTTGCTGCCTACAGATCAAGATGTAAGATTCTCAGCTCCTTCTGCAGCACAATGTTTGTCTGTACACCGCCATGTCCCAACACTATGAATGGACAAAACCTCTGAAACTGTAAGACAGTCCCAATTAAATGTTTTCCTGTTGACATGGTCACTGGTGGTGGTGGCACATGCCTTTAAATCCCAGCACTTGGGCACTTGGGGAGGCAAAGGCAGGCAGATCTTTGTGAGTTCCAGGCCAGCCTGGTGTTACAAATCGAGTTCCAGGACAGTCAGGGCTGTTACACAGAGAAATCCTATTTGGGGGGGACGACATTGGGCTGGAGCATTGGCTCAGTGGCTAAGAAAATGCATTGTTTTTACAGAGTTCAGTTCCTAACATCTATGTCAGATAGATCACAACTGCCTGTAACCAGCTCTAGGGGTTTAGCACCCTCCTTTGGACTCTGTAGGTGTCTACACACACATACACAAATTAAAACAAAAAGATAAAGTTTGCAGGAACATGCGTGAAACTGGAAATTATTGAGGTGACCCAGACTGAGGAAGACAAATAGCACATTTCTTTTCTTATGTGGATACAGCTTTGCATTAATTTGTTTGGTTTTTCAAGGCAGGGTATTTCTGTATAGACTAGGCTGTCCTCAAACTCACAGATACCAGCCTGCCTCTGCCTTCAGAGTAAGTGCACTGCCACCATGGGCTCCTAGATTTTAGGTATATGCATTTATGTGGGAGCAAATGTGGGGAGAGATTAGAAAACTATAAAGGGGTCCATAAGAGGGAAAAGAGATTTTCAGAAAGGATGGTTGTGGTGGGTTTGAATGAGAAATGTCTCCCATAAATTTTGGTATTTGAATATTTTAATCCCACTGCTTGGAGAGGCTTAGCTGAGGAAATATGTTAAACAAACAAAAGACAGGATAATGTAATAATCAAGCTTCCTTAAAAATTAATCACAACTTTTTAAAAAGCAGCACCAGAGGCCAGGCAATAGTGGCCTTTAATCTCAGCGTTTGAGAGGCAGAGGTAGGTGGATCTTTTTTTTTTTTTTTTGGTTTTACGAGACAGGGTTTCTCTGTATTGTTCTGGAGGCTGTTGGTCCAGCCCGGCCTTGAACTCACAGAGATCCGCCTGCCTCTGCCTCCCGAGTGCTGGGATTAAAGGTGTGCACCACCACCGCCCTGCTGAGGTAGGTGGATCTTTGTGAGTTTGAGGCCAGGCTGGTTTATAGAGTGAGTTCCAGGACAGCCAAGACTGTTGCACAGAGAAACCCTGTCCCAAAACACTAAAAAACAAAACAAAACAAAACAAAAGCCAAAAATAAACAAATACACACCTGCTCTCTGCTCACTGCCATTCAGCTTCTGAACACCAATCCTTTTCTGAATCAAGATCTCACTACATAGGCCTAGAATTTCAGCCTGGGCTAGAGTATGAGTGTGATCAAAGGAAAAAAAACGTAATGGGGGTGTATTGTAATTTTAGTAGAAGGAAAGATATGCACATGTAAACTTCAGTCATTCCTCGTTATATTATTTTTTAGCACATGTCTCCTGGCTCGGGCCAATTCTACCAACCCACCTTGGTATTAGTATATTGTCATGCCCATGGCTATCACACATAGATGGGATTCACTAGGGTCCTGCCCTGTACCTAAATAATGGAAGAGGTATTTCATGTGTGTATGCCTGTGCATCACAGGTGTCTGTTGCCTGAGGTCAGAAGAGGGCATTAGGACCTCCCGTAACTGGAGTCGCAGAGAGTTTTGAGCTGGTGTATCGATGCCAGAACAGAACCCAAGTCCTCCGCAAGAGCACGTAAAGTTAACCACTGTGGCAACTCTCCAGCCCTGACTATTTCGAATGTATAAAGCAACTTCCATAGTCTTTTAGAACAAAGCATGATGAACATGATGCCCTGAGGAATGGGAGTCAGCCTTCTGGAGTGTGGCTAAAGCTACAAACTCAAAGATACAAATCAGTGGGGCTGGTGAGATGGCTCAGAGGTTAAGAAACTGGCTTCCCTTCCAGAGGTCCTGAGTTCAACTCCCAGTAACTATATGGTGGCTCACAACCATGTGTAATGAGATCTGGTGCCCTCTTCTGGCATGAGGGATATATGCAGACAATAGTGTTTAAAATAGTTAGCAAGTGATGGGATTAACTTCCCTTCTGTGGAAAAAACACACAAAGGCTAGGAAGTACCCACCCTCTTGAGAACAAACCAACCATGGAGAATGTTTTGCATTTCTGCAAAGGACCTAGATGTTCAGTAGATGTGACTGAACCTAGTTTTTGCTGCTAGGGAAGCAGCTGAGGTGACCTTCCGTCCATTCTCCAGCACACCCTACTGAGGAAAATATTCAATACTTCTATGATCTTGTGGTGCTGGGGGCTGAAGCCAAAGCCTCATTCATGTTGGGCAACCACTCTTCTCTGTGACCCAATGTCAGCCCTCAGCAACAATTGACTCCTGGGAGTCAAGCTCTGTGCTAGGCTCTGAAAATTGAAGAAACAGAACATTACTCTTGCCTTACTGGAGTTGTCATAGTTGAGCTAAACGATCACAAAAATGGTATGTAACTACTGCCCAGAGGGTGGTGGTACAAGTCTAAAATCCCAGAAGGCATTCAGAGGCAGAGGCAAGTAGATCTCTGAGTACAAGGCCAGCATGACAGCAATGACTACACAAAGAAATCCTACATTTGAAAGGAACACTATGAAGGTAAACAGGACTTGGGAGTTTGAGACCATCTCAAACATTTAAGTTGGAACCAAAAGGTGTGTAGGTGTGTGTGTGTGTGTGTGTGTGTGTGGTGGTGGTGGTGGTGGTGGTGGGGGCTGGTCCATGAGATAAGCTTAAGATTGACCAAAGCTCACTTTCTTTACAGCAGGAGTGGGGGCAGAGCTCCTTCAGCTCCTTCTACATTTGGGCCTCTTCCCACATCTTTTGTGCAGGCAACCTCCCTCTACATTTATGAGAAAACTTCATCTTAAGCTCCCTGAGCTACTAAACATGGGCTGTATGAAAGGAACCCAACAATCAACATAGTAAAACAAAAGTTAGTTTATTTTGTCAAAAATTGAAATATACTTTATCACCTTGCTGTTAAGCTTGTATATGCCAAAGCTGTATCCCCTCTTCCCCCTGGAGGAATCTTCTTTAAGTCTACACTGACATACCAAACCCACAGCAGCAACTACGAGGTCATGTTTTGAGTCCAAGGCAGAGTATCACAGGGCAATAAATGAAATTTATCCATTAGTTATTTAGCAGACATAGGTCTTGCTAAGTTGTCCAGGCTGACCACCCTCAAATTCCTGGGTTCAAATAATTCCACAGCTTGGGAAGTGCTGGGATGATGGGGACATGCCACAGCACCATGAAACAATAGCTCCCAAAACTAGAGTGAATGATGTCAATTTAGGGCATACACATACTTTGAGGATAGCATGAACATGCAGAAATGTACAATCTACTTTTGCTGTTACTTTAGCCTTCCCTGAGCATGTGATACTTACATTAAAAAGGAAGAATTAATGGAGTACCTACACTAACATTCTAAGCCATCTGATGTCTACAAAGTTCCCTATCACATTGTCATCTTCTCATACAAAGACCCATTTACAGACAAGTCTGGTGTTCTGTTCACAACATGCTTCCTTTAGATTTCATAGATGATTTCCTACATGGTTTCCTCACAGTAGTGTCATACTTTCTAGAGCTTTCATAGCATACCCAGGATTAACCCCATCTTGGCAGTTGACACACATACCTTCTTTTTCTAAAAACATAAAGGTTTCACTCTTTTGTGACAAATATTCCAAGATTATTTTCTCCAAAAGATCACCAAGCCAAACATTTGGCCATACTTTTATTTACTACATATACTATAAACATATACAATACATGCTACAAAAAAATTTTAAATTTAACTGTCAAGAAAGTGTATAGTGTTATAATACAATGGCACATGTTCATATTTTATTTCAAATCGGTTTGCTTATCACCCATTTCAAACCATTAATAGTGAAATGTTACTTGTGGAAAATTAAAATCTATTTGCATTATTAATAAACAATTCCAACAAATTAATAAGAATTAACCATGTCATATTAGTATCCAAAAATGGGCTCTTGCAGAAGTGATTATATAAAACATAGCAGCCGATTTTGTTTACTTTGCTCTGGGACAATGTACAGACGCACTTGACTAGGATTCTAGTGCTTGCTATTTTTGGAAGATATTTGTAAGAAGTCCTTTGATCTTGTGAGGTCCAGTAACTGCTACACACAGCCAACTCCAACCAAACAGTTCCTGTAATGGCTCTGAACAACTAATCACTGAGGAGCTCTTCTGATTCCTGTAGAGCTGTATATGCCATCAACACAACACATAACGAAGAGACAGTACAAGCCAGCATCAAGGCAAAAGAAAATACAAACATTCAAATCAGTTGTGACAAGAATTTTCTAAAAATATTTTAGATGCCATAGTTTCAGGGACAGATTTTTTTTTTAAATTTATTTATTTGGTTTTGGAGACAAGGTCTTACTTTGGAACTCTGGCTGTCCTGGAAGTAGCTCTGTAGACTAGGCTGGCCTCAAATACAAGAGACCCACCTGCCTCTGCCTCCCATGTGCTGGGACTAAAGGTGTGTGCTACCACACCTGGCATAGGAAAACAAGATTTAATGTGCATTTGGATTTACAGTATCTATACTAACTGAAAACAACCTAGTAGTCAGATGAAACATGTCACACACTGCAATCTGTCCACTCAACATCACTGAGCACCTACTATGTGTTTAGCACTGGTCAACATCTCCAAAGTTAAGCATTAACATCTTTATCAAGCATTTACCTTAGAGTGAGGTACAAATGTATTAAATTAGCATCAACTCATTAGTTTGCCTGTGGTAATGTATACAATCCTATGCCAACTGGTGTCCTGGGACTGTAACAAGTTTCTGCACTCTGCTTATTCTTTCATACAAAATTTCCACACACATGTGCTAAGCAATGTGTTAGCCACTGCAATACCTTGATTTGATATATGTTCAAAGAATGCAAATTCATCAAATTAATCTATACAGTACAACTAAGAAGGTACATTATTTTTCTAAAACAAGGTTCAAAGCAAAGTATAAGGTGTTTCTATTGGTTATACCACACCAGAGACCAGCAAGTGCCTTTTATCACCCAAAAGTCTCATATTATAGTCTAAAAAAACCGTAAATCATTTGTAGTCTCACAGGCCTATTCTTTGGAGCATCTGACCCCACATAAACCAATCTACACTTAAAAGGGTTTATAAACTAAATCTGGACAAAGGAAAACCCAAATGAAGTAATGTACTTATAAAGTAATATACTTCAAGAACTATTTTGGCCATGTAAAGTGATATATAAGTAACTCAGGACTGGCACAGTTTTTCAAAGAACTAATCCTACCCCAAATGCATAGAATTCTTTTATAAAACTTGCACATGATGCAGAGGGCAGAGTTTGGCCCAATAACTTCTACAGGATACAGTAAGTGATTGGTCCTTCCACTCCAAGTAGAATTCCACTAGGATACTAGCAATCAGGAGAAATGGCCCGGCCGGATCTGTCCCACTAGCAAGGAGTCTCTTAGCTGTGGTAGCAGTGTGAACCTATGATGCCCCCTTGGGGGAAGGCAGAGAGCTGGGAGTGTATCCACTGAGTGAATCCAATACTGGCTTAAAGCTATGCACTGAATAAAGTGCTCTGCACATCCTGCTTCTCATCTGGAATGAAGATAGTCACTATCCTAAGAATCAGGTCACTTTATAGGTACAGGGGAAGAGAGTAACAAGGAAAGAACCCAAGAAAAGTATGAAGCATTGACTGGAAAGGAAGACAAATGCCTCTAGTAGTGTTCTCGGAATCCTCAGGGTTTGAAATGTCAGAATGAGTCATACAACGGTCATGGTCCATTAATGCAAATGCAATCCCACTGGGTAATATTCACACAGTGCATGATTACGTCATGGGAGTGGGAGGAACAGTCTGTTGCCATTTGATAGTATGGTGTCAGAATGAAAACAGAACCACTGAAGAAATCAGGGTAAGCAGTGTGTAACATTCTTTTCCTGACCGTCAGTTTTCCACAGGTTGATCTATCCTGCCCAAGAGAAAGGAGGCAAGGTATTTACCTCCTCTCATACAGGCATGGCCACTACCACCTAAAACTGCCAATTCAGAAGTTAACCACACAAGCCCTCCAGTTTCGTACCCTGAATATGGTAAATACGAGTAAGAATGGAGTGATTCAGTCTTAAAAAAGATCACAGGTAACAGAACGCTTATATAAACTAGACTGCTTTGACACCTGTAAGAAAATTGTATAGATGGCAACTGGGGGAAACAGATTGTTCCATCTGTCAGCAAACTGTTGAGCTATACTCAGCTGAAGTCCTCATCAGGATTCTGTTGATCCAGCAGACGGACATGTGTGAATGGGAAGTGACCTCGTTTGCCATTACACTCCCCTTCCCACTGACCACTCACATTAATCTTCGTAACCTTTACCAGCTCACCGACCTGCAGGACGAGAATAAGGAGAACACTTTATTTCCAGTTAAGAAGGTAAGCTGAAAATCTCCATTCTCTGTTAGGCATACCCTGCCCATGTGATTGCCCTAGGGCTTATGTTATAGAAATAAATGGCTACTCACTACCTCCCCAGCCCCATCCACCAGACTGGTTACTTGTGGTTAATGCAAGCAAAAGGAAGGAGTGTTGTTAGCAGTGGAAAAAGACAGAGAATACAGGAAGCAAAAATGACCCTAAAAAATGATACTTCCTGTGAACCTCAGCATATCTAGATGAGCTATTATCCCTTTTCTCTGGTCTACTATTCTCAGCAACACCCCCACCACTCCCCACAAGGTCTGACTTAGGGGATAATGCTAGCTCTTCCTGGCATATGTGGTAGCATGGCCCAACCCCTATCCTAGGACAATATTGTGGCTGCCACTGCTTGCACAGCAAAGGCAACCATAGCAAGCACATTGCATTTGGATTCAGAAAATGAAATATTCCTATTGTTTTTCAGACAAGACCAAATCTTTACCTAGAGAAGGTATAGGCCAAAATGCCACCTCTCATATCTAACTGACTTGCCACTCCTTAAAATGGCATGTGTTTATTACCCAATTGGGGACAAAGGAAACAAAACCCATATTACCAGCCAACTATAACTCCTTCCATTTATACAATGTCCTTTATAAAATCAAATATAAAGTTTTAACAAAATATACTTCTGCCTTGCCATGAAGTTAAGACAAGGTCAGTTTTATAAACTAAAACATTAAACAAACAGCATGGCGGTGCATGTTGTAATCCTAGCTCTTGGGACACAGAAGTAGGAAGATGACAAGTTTAAAGTTATCCCCAGCTACATGGGAAATGTGAGGCATGTGTGCCAGACCACATGAGTCCTGTCTCAAAAGAGAAAATGCAGCAACAACAACAACAACAACAAAATAAAACACAACAAAAAGACCCTGAACATTCAGATAATGACTACTTTTTGGTCACTTGGGTTTTATATTGTTCATGTATGTAAATGTCTTTTGGGTGTATAGATGTTAATTTCTAATTCTCAGACTAACCCTTCATAATAAAGAACATTTTAATTTTATAGACAAAGTGGAGGATTAGGGCAATCATTGATATTCACACAGCTAATGATTTGAGTTCTGTGATGACAGCGCTATTTTATTTTTGTCTGTTTATTTGAGATAGTAGTCCTGGCTGACTTGAACTTATTAAACAAAGCTGGCCTCCAACTCTTAGAAATCCTCCTGTCTCTGTTCCTCCCAAGTGCTGGGGAAGTGCCACAAAGCCAGGAGACCAGTATCTGCCCCAGAAATGCTACAAGTGTCTCTCTCCCTCTCTCTGAGACAGGGTTTCTCTGTATAACAGCCCTGACTGTCCCAGAACTCACTTTGTAAACCAGGCAGGCCTCAAACTCACTGAGATCCGCCTGCCTCTACCTCCTAGAGTGCTGGAATTAAAGATGTATGTCACCACTGCCAGCCATTTCAAATAGTTTTTTTAAATTTATTTTTATTTCATGTGCAGTGGTGTTTTGCATGAATGTATGTCTGTGTGAGGGACAAGAGTTACAGACAGTTGTGAGCAGTCATATGGGTGCTGGGAATTGAACCCAGGCCCTCTAGAAGAGAAACCAGTGCTCTTAGCTGCTGAGTCATCTCTCTGCCCATTATTTCAAGTTTTAAGTGAATATTAATAGAAAACCAAAAAAGTTGGGGTACAAGGTACAACACATTTTTTTGTTTGTTTGTTTTTGTTTTTCGACACAGGGTTTCTCTGTGGCTTTGGAGGCTGTCCTGGAATGGAACTAGCTCTTGTAGACCAGGCTGGTCTTGAACTCACAGAGATCCGCCTGCCTCTGCCTCATGAGTGCTGGGATTAAAGGCCTGTGCCACCAACGCCCGGTGATACAACACATATTAATCTTAGAATGCTGGAGGCTGAACCAGGAAGACACAAAGCTAACCTGGGTTACAGTGAATCTCTATTTTCAATACTAACCACAAAGACAAAACAAGAAATAAAGAAAAAAAGACCTTAACATGTCTTATCAAGACTCTCAAGAACTCTTAAGTTGAAGATACCTTTAATTTCTGATCCTCTTGCATCTACCTAAGACCAGGATAACAAGTGTGTACAACCACAAGTTCTGATGACTGTTTTTATTCCTGAGACAGGATTTAGCTGGCCTGGTACTACTAGCTATGCATTATTCTAAACTGGGCTTGAACTCAGTAACCCTTCTTAGCTTCACAAGCACTGACTTTTGGGGTCAGCTCAGCTTCTTTTTCTTTTTCCCTTTACTCTTGGGGAGAGGGTAAAGGAAGAGGCTCCACTATTATCTCTCCATGTCGTCCTCATCCTCCTGACCAATCCTGTAACATCCTCAAGAGCAAGCCTAAGGATGAAGCAGCGGGTCATCTATGAAGGGGACTAAATACGGCTATTGGTTCCCAGGAAACTTAATGAACTGGTTTGTTTCGTGGCTCTATAAAGTCAAAAGTCAGCTGTGATCCTAGTGAAGACATAAGCAAACCTAGAATGGTCCAGGAACAAAAGAATGCCCAGCTAGCCTCACCAGGAAGTTTTAGCAATATGAAAAAGAAACTGGAGCCCAAATGGCATTAAATTCTCAAATACACTAAATAGTAGTCTATCGGGGAACTATGTGAGCTTCTTTGTGGGTACACTCCAGGTGACTGCTTTTCTAGGTTTTGTCCCTATTTCCTGAAAGGAGAGACCACCAGTTTTCCTCTGATCCAGACCTGCACGATTCCAGTGAGCACTAACCAGGATGTGTACGACAGCACAGGGACAGAAAGTCAGGGAGAAAGAAACAAGTGAAGAGAATCAGTGGCCTCCTGTGTGCCTGGGAGCCCAGAGTTCACAACAGGTCTTTTCCTGTTATTTTTCATGATGCATACTTTCAAGTTAGTTCTTTGCATTTGCTCTCTGTCTCTGTCTCTGTGTGTGTGTGTGTGTGTGTGTGTGTGTGTGTGTGTGTGTGTGTGTGTATTTATACCACAGCACACACATGGAGGTCAGAGACAACTTGTAGAGTCATCTCTCTTTTCGTAGCATGAGCTTTCAGAATGGAACTCAGATCTCAGGCTTTGATGGCAAGCGTCCTTACCTGCAGAATCATTTCACCAGCCCCACAATATATATATTTTGAGACAGTATTTCTCAGTGAACCCAAGCTCACAAATATGGCATAGCCTAGCTGTCCAGTAACTCCAGGGATCCCGTGTCTGCCTCATCTAGGTGTTGGAATTAAAGATCCATGATGGTGCTCCTCACTCTCTACGTAGGTTCCAGGGATCCAAACTCAAGTCCTATGTGGTAAATGAAGTAAGGCATCTCCCCAGCCCATCCAAACAGTTTTAACAAAGGAAAAAAAATATTTTAAGATTTGTCTGGGGAGAAAGTTAAGGAAATTATAGCAATCTAAGTCAGGAGTCAACCAATTACTGCTTCTAAATCCAGCTTGCTGTTTTGTAGATAGTTATTTGTCATTGTGTGTGTCTTTGTGACAGCTTCAGAGATTAGAGGACAGCTCTGTGGAGTAGGTTCTCTCTGTATCCTTCTGCAGGGGTTTGACCTCTACATGGTCCCTATTCATAAGCACTCCACTCTGCTACTGTAGTCAGAAGGTAGTTATCAACAACCTGGAGCCTGGTGTGTCCAATAAAGCTACTAGTGAGCTAACAAGTCCAGAAGAGAACTTGTTTCAAACCTTAATTAAGACTTGAGTTCAGTTCCCCTAAGTCAAGTAAACATGGAAGGAGAGGTTAAGTGGTGTACATCTTTAATCTCAGTACTCAGGAGATGGCTATATCTGAGTTTGAGGCAAGCCTGGTCTTCATAGTGAGTTCCATGCCAAGGCTACATAGATGATGTCTAAATAAATAATCAAAAGGGGCTAAGAACCGGCATAGTGTCTCACACCTGTAATCCCAGCCCTTGGAAGACTGAGGCAGAATGAATACCTTGAGTTTGAGATGAGCTTGGGCTATAAGTGTGAGTTCCTGCCCCAAAAAGAAAAGGCTATGGATACAGTTCATCAATAGATAACTTTCCTAGCATGCAAAGCCTTGATTTTGTCTCTAGTACCATGGAAAACAAAGCTGGGAGCTGGGCACAGTGGCATACACCTTTAATCCCAGAATTTGGGAGGCAGAGATAGACAGATCTCTAAGAGTGTAAAACCAATTGGTCTACATAGTAAATTCCAGGCTAGGGCTATACAGTGAGACCCTGTCTCAAAAAACAAACAAATCCCTGCCCTCACAAGGAAAAGCTAAACAAAAGCAATTTCCTAGTCAGGAGGTGTATCAAAGTGGAATCAGGTACAGGGTCTGATTTTATAGCCCAGGCTGGCCTTAAACTTGAAATCCTCTTACCTTCACCTCCATCATGCTGAGATTTACCATCACATTTGAGTTAACCTGTTTTCCTGTAAGTTTTTCTTTATAGCAAAGGAGGGTTAAGGCTCCTTCCCATTAAAGAATTCTCATGTACCAATTGATTTTGTTTTTGAGACAAAAACTTTGTAGTTCTGTCCTCGAACTCACTATAGACCAGACTGGCCTTGAACTCACAGAGATCCAAGTTCTGGGACTAAAGGCATGTGCGAACATGTGCAGCCTAAGCTATTTTTTCAAGCAAGCAGCAAAGGTGTTTTTTTTGTTGTTGTTGGTTTTTTTTTTTTTTGGTTTTTTGAGACAGGGTTTCTCTGTGGCTTTGGAGGCTGTCCTGGAACTTGCTCTGTAGACCAGGCTGGTCTCGAACTCACAGAGATCCTCCTGCCTCTGCCTCCCGAGTGCAAAGGTGTTTTAAAACCATCTTAAGGTATGTTTTATTTTGAAAGAGGCCCTTTTTTTAGTAATTAACATATGTAACTCAACACAAACTAAAAAACATGATCATACCAATTTCAACTCAAATCTTTATCAACTCAAATCTTTATCCCCCAAGATTTGTATAATATTTCAAAGCAGAGGAAGAAGTTCAACCATTTTTAAGCATTGAAGCCACTAACAGAAACATCCTTAAAAATAATCTTTCATTGGGCTGGAGAGATGGTTCAGCAGCTATGGGCATGTGCTGTTCTTACAGAGGGTCCAGACTCAGTTCTCAGCACCCACATGATAGCTCACAACTATCCATAAGTCCAGTTCTGGCCTCACATACATGCAGGCAAAATACACAGGCAAAATAAAATAAATAAATCTTAAAACGGAAGTGATTTTGATACAATAACTATCCTTTTCTGGGTATGCAGTGACCTGTTCCATGAATGCTGTTTTCATACTTCAGTCCATGGATAAGATCTGCAATCAATGTTAAGAACTCACAAACCATGTTAGATGTGAGCTTAAAAACCTGCTTTATCTTCCAAGCAGTGGAGCCTAGACAACACACATTCCATTTCTCAAAGCCAAGACACAATACTTTAAAGTTAGGATATAATCTCAAAAAAATACAAATTTCCAAAAGGGGTGTGATGGCTCATGCCTATAATCCTAACAATTGGGAGCTTCTGCAGAACTGTCATACATTAGAGGCCAGAGTGGGCTACATAGTGAGCTCCAGGCCAGACTGGGCTAGAATGAATCCTCATCTCAACAAAACAAAACACTAAAAAACTGGGCATGGTGGCACATGACTTTACTACCAGCATCCTTTCTATAAGATCAAGACCAGCCTAGTGAGCTAGTGAGCTCAGGACAGACAGAGCCACATAGTGAGACCCTGCCTCTAAAATAAATAAATAAATAAATGTACGTAATACCATTTTCAGTCAAACCTGGCAAACTCCATTAACTTAATTTACACACCCACTAGATCAGAAATGAAAATTTTGGGGCTGGTAAGATGACTCAGTGGTTAAGAGCACCATCTACTCTCTCAAAGGACCAGAGTTCCAGTGCCAGCACTCACAAGGCAGTCTTAACCTCCAGTTCTAGGACATCCAATGTACTCTTCTAGCCACTGTGGGCATGTGGTATATAGACAGACAGATGCAGACAAAACACCCATACAAATAAAATAAAAATAATTTTGTTTTATTTTGCTATTTTGAGACAGGGGTTCTGTCTGTGTAGCCCTGGCTTTCTTAGAACTTGTTTTGTAGACCAGGCTGGTCTCCAACTCATAGAGATCCTCCTGCTTCTGCCTCCCAAGTGCTAAGATTAAAAGCATGAGTCGCTACGCCTGGCAAATAAAAATAAATGAAAAAAATTCAAATGCATTAACATCAGACTCTGGTTAAAATAAATTTTTGCTCATTCAATGGATTTTCACTTAAAGACAGCTCCTATCCCTAACTATAGGAACACAACCCAAAGGAAACAGAAGAGCCGAATCACAAGAGTACTTTACCCCCTCCCTGCTACTGTGTTCACATAACCTCAGGCCATGCTTATGGGAGCTGGCTACCTATTTATACTCAAGTCAATCTGAAAGATGGGACAGCAGGCTACCTCTGTATTGAAACGGGTAAGAAGAAAACTTGAGTGCTGAAGAGGAACAAAGGAATAAATGCAGTGAATGGCAGGTCATAAGAAAGGCTTCGATGAATGACTAGAGGTAAAAAAAACCCCTACAAAGTCAGGCGATGGTGGCAGAGGCAGGTAGATATCTTTGAGTTTGAGGCCAGCCTGGTCTTGGTCTACAAAGCTACACAAAGAAACCCTGTCTCTAAAAACAAAACAAACAAACAAAAAATAACCCTTACAAAGAACTGGCTTTGGGGCTAGAAAGATGACTTAGTGGTTAGGAGCACTGGCTGCTCTTCCAGAGGACCCAGGTTCAATTCTCAGCACCCACATGGCAGCTTACAACTGTCTGTAACTCCAGTTCTAGTGGATCTGATACCTTCACACCAATGCACAAATAAATTAAAAAAAAAAAAAAAACTGGCTTCTCCTGTCCAACAACACACTAAGCAACACAGACAAGTAAATCTGTTTTCTGTAACTCACACTCTTAGTTATGGCTCAATTCACATCTGCACACCACTGTTGTTTCCTCTCCCTCTTGTGTGTGTGTGTGTGTGTGTGTGTCTGTTTGTGTATGAGAGAGACAGACAGACAGACACTAGGGACAAAACCCAGGGCCTGGACAAGGCTAGCATTCAGCCTTTCCTGATTCATGTCAAACATAATTAATAAGGCTATCCACTAAAATAAAAGGAGTTTTTGACTTGGTGTGGTGTCACACATTTTTAATCCCAGTACTCAGGAAGCAGAAGCAGGTAATTCTTTGTGTGTTACAAACCAGCCTGATTTACAAAGTGAATTCCAGCCAGGGCTACATAGACACCTGGTCTCCAAAACAGAAGAAAAAAAATTATGGAAAAATCCCACTTAAGTATATTGCTACATACCACTTATTACATTCTAATCTCTGTGAACCCATCTTGTTTTAGACAATGACAAACAGAAAGCAACAAAGTTAGGATATAGATGAGAAAAGTTACTTCATGTTAATTCCTATGAATTCAGGTGGTTATTAGTGAAAACAGGTTTAGTAGATCAATCAGAACATTCAGTTACACAGTTTTAAATTTACTCATTGCAAAATAGGTTTTCTCTAAAAGAGAGAAACCCACATAAAATGCCAAGATCAATATTTAATGGTTTGACATCTACAACATCACAAAGCTGGTGCTGCATCAGCATTCCTACAAAGCTGTAAGAGGTATGAAAGGGAGACCCTGTAGCAGATCTCGTCTTTCTACATTTTGCACATTATGTACCTCCAAAGCCAAGGCTGTCTTGTCGTAGGCATTAGGGACTCGCTTCTGGATAACCCTGGCATAAATGGGCCCATTCTGGAGGTTAGGGAGCGGAGTGTTGACGCTGGGTTGGGCATAGGGCCCAGGCTCCGGCCCACCCAGTGGCTGTGGGTGGGAACCCTCCTGGTTACCTCCAATCAGAGCCGACACTGAGGCGGAGGCAGGTCTATACTTCTCCACGTAAGGGACTGGAATCATCCCCCTCTTTCCTTCGATGTCCTCTGCATTCCACCACTGCTCTTCAGGCTTATCCCGGATTCTCAGGATGTCTCCTTTCTTAAAGGGAAGATCTTCTTCATCATTCCCATTAAAGTCAAAAAGAGCTCGCACATACTCTGCCTCCTCCTGCCTGAGAATCACTCCACTACCCTGCCTGGATCTGGAAACTGGTTCTATCAATGTTGTAGTGTCCAAATAGTGTATTTTGTAGAATTCCAGTAAAGCAGGCAATGAATCAAATTCTTGATCTCCTATTCGGAGCCGGGAGGGACTCACTCCTGGAAAAGACAGAGCAGAGTGTCATTTGAAGGTATACTATACTGCCCATGAAACAGATTTATGTGTTTTTCATACGTATGTGGTCAATATTTGGTCAGCAAAGAAAGGATCCTAACAAAAGAAAAACTAAAACCAAACTCTTTTCTTCACAGATCAAATGGGCATCACCCTTTAAAATTGAGTGTCCTCTTCCAGAGGACCTAGGTTCCACTCTCAGCACCAACTCTAACTCCAGTCCAAGGATCTAATGCCCATTTTCTTGACTCCTTGAACACTCAGCACCCATACGATGCACCATCCATGCAGACAAAACACCTATACATTTAGAAAATAAATTAGCATCCTCTGGAAAGAAAGACGCCATCACTATGGGGAGGGGAAGAAAAAAGGCAGCCCTGACAGACCAGGCCCCTTGGTTTGCAGACAGTACAGCTCACACACCTTTTGATCAATCTCACACAGGGTTCTGCTGCTACCCCATAAATAACCAAATGTACTCTACAGCCTCAGGAAGTACAGCAAGCTCTCCTTTTTTGGGGCTGGGGAAACTTGAGACAGTGTTTCTCTGTGAAACAGCTCTGGTTGTTCTGGAACCCACTTTGTAGACCAGGCTCACAAAGATCAGAGATCCACCTGTCTCTGTCTTTCAACTGCTGGGATTAAAGGCATGTGGCCTGGCCTCAAGCTCTCCTTTTTAATAGGTCTGTGCAACTGTTTGAACAAGAGATGAGAGAAACTTGGCAGCTACTGTAAGCTATACATTACCATCATTACAATGTACAATTCCAAAGATGCATCAGATTCCCTGGAATGTGAATTACACGTGGCTTTATGTGATCCCACGTGGGTGTAAAGAACTGAACCCAAGTCCTCTGCAAGAGCAGCAAATGCTCCTATTCAGAGTTATCTCCTGAGGCCAAAGATAATTATATGCATGTTTGTCTGTGTGGAGGTGTGTGCACATGCAGGGAGTACAAGCGAGGGATTTGGATACCCTGCAGCTGGAGTTACAGGCAATTGTTAACTGCCTGGTATGAATGCTGGAAGCTGAACTAGGGTCCTCTTTAAGAGAAGTATGTGCTCTCAATCTCTAGCCCAAGACTATCCTAAAAAAAATATTTATGTGTATGTTCTATTTGTGTACAAAGGTCAGAAGAGGTATTAGATACCCTGGAACTAGAGTTAGAGGTGATTGTGAGTCATCATGTATGTAGTGCTGAGAACCAAACCCTAGTCCTTTGCAAGAGCACTAAGTGCTCTTAACCCCTGAGCTATCTCTCTCTCCCTCTCCTAAGCTAATTGGTTAAAGATCAATTCTTTGGCCAGACAGTGGTGGCACATGCCTTTATTTAATTCCAGCACTTGGGAGGCAGAGGCAAACGGATCTCTATGAGTACAATGTCATCCTGGTCTACAGAGTGAGCTCTAGTACAGCTAGGTACTAGAAAAACCATCTCACAACCCCACCCCCAAACCTATTCTTTGGAGGCAGGAAAATCAGGAGTTCCAAAGCCATCCTAAGATGTATGAGCTTAAGGGCAGTCTAGTACATGAGATCCTATTTCAAAAACATGAGAACTGGGACTAAGGAGATGGCTTTGTTGGGAGAGTACATGTCTAGAATGCATGAAGCCCTGATTTTGATACCCAGTACCACATAAACTGGATACAGTGTCCATAGTTCTTTTTTTTTTTTTTTTTGGTTTTTCAAGACAGGGTTTCTCTGTATTGTTTTGGAGGTTGTCCTGGAACTCGCTCTGTAGACCAGGCTGACCTCGAACTCACAGTGATCTGCCTGCCTCTGCCTCCCGAGTGCTGGGATTAAAGGCATGTGCCACCACCGCCCGGCTAGTGTCCATAGTTCTAATACTCCAAAAAGTATAGGCTGAAAGATCAGACATTCAATGTCAACCTCAGCTTTATAGGATGGGAGAGCATAGCCTGGGATACAGCCCTCCATCATTATGTACTTAATCAAGGATCCAAGAGAAAGGACCTAGTAGGGACACTTAAAATTCACTATACCATAGTCAGATGGTGGTGGTATAAATCTTTAATTCCAGCATTGAGAGACAGAGGCAGACAAATATCTGAGTTCTAAGGCCAGCCTGATCTACAAAACAAGTTCCTGAACAGCCAGGGCTACATAGAGAAACCCTGTTTCCAAAAAACCAAAAACACACACACACAAAAATTCTCAACGCCAATTCATGTGCCATAAACACAGAGCATATTTCTACTGAGTCTACCATTCAAGAATAGTGAATGAAGATGCATCAGCCCACATGAAACAGAGCCTGGGGATGCAGTTTAGAGGGTATCCATAGTCCATCTACGTAAACATTCCAGGAAAACTGCAACATAAACTCAACTGTTCTAAGGATAGGCTTACAGAGATCATTTTTAGAAGCTTTTTAAAAAATTCTTATTTTAAAAAATTGATGCTGGGTGGTAGTGGCACACATCTTTAATCCCAGCATTCAAGAACCAAATGTAGGTGGATCTCTGTGAGTTTGAGGCCAGCATGGTCTGCTGAGTAAGTTCCAGGACAGTCAGGGCATCACAGAGAAACCCTGCCCCGAAAATCAAAATGAATGACTGAATAAACAGGAGCCAGCAATATGACACAGCATATAAAGACTCTTGCTACCAAGCCTAACAATCTGAGTTAATCTATACCAGTTGCTCTCTGGATGCTACACATGCACAGTAACACGTGTACCCGCCCACATACACATATAAGCAAAGAAAAAGTATTTTTAAAATGTGAAAGGGGGCTGGAGAGATAGCTCAGCAGTTAAAAACACTGGCTGTTACAAAGGACCTGGTTTCAATCCCCAGCATCAACTTGGTGGATCACAACCATTTGTAACTCTAGTCCCAGGGGGTATGACACCCTCTTCAGGCCTCTGAGGGCTCCAAGCACTGGTGATACACAAACTTAATGCAGTCAACACCCACATGCAAATAATAAAACTTTTGAAAAAACAAATTTAGACAGGTTCTCACTATGGTCTGGATTCTATCACTATACAGCTCAAACTGGCTTCAAATCCCTGGCAACATACCTGCCCAGGCTCCAGAGCTGAAGGATTACAAACCTGAGCCACCACTGCTGGCTGGGTTTTTTTGTTTTTTGTTTTGGCTTTTTGAGACAGGGTTTCTCTGTGGCTTTGGAGGCTGTCCTGGAACTAGCTCTTGTAGACCAGGCTGGTCTGAACTCGGAGAATCGCCGGCCTCTGCCTCCCTAGTGCTGGGATTAAAGGCGTGAGCCACCAATGCAAAAAAAAAAAAAAAAGCATTGTGTATGTGCATGATGTATGCATGTAATTAGGAGACAACTTTGCAGAGTTGTTCAGTTCTTGCCTTCCAGCTTTGTGGGCTCCAAGGGTCAAACTCAGGTTTCTAGACTTGTGGGACACATACTTAGCCCACTGGGCTATCCCACCACCCAATGGCTATTTTCTGAAAAAGGGTTTGTGATAAAGTCCAGAGTAGGTTTCAGTCTATGATATTCCTGTCTTGGCCTCCGAATAGTGGGTTTTTTTGTTTTGTTTTGTTTTTTCCCGAGACAGGGTTTCTCTGTATTTTGGAGGCTGTCCTGGAACTCACTCTGTAGACCAGGCTGGTCTCGAACTCACAGAGATCCGCCTGCCTCTGCCTCCCGAGTGCTGGGATTAAAGGTATGAGCCACCAACGCCCGGCTCCAAACTGCTGGATTTTAAGCATGCACCACAGTATTTGGCGTGAGACTAGTTTGGTTATAACTGTACAGCAATGCTACCTTACAGTTTCTCTTCACAAAAAACTGTTCCTTTCTAGTCTGTCCTCACCAATTTAATTCAAGATGATTTTTCCAGGTGAAGACAGCAACTGTCAAAGTGTGAGCAGGGAAATATGCTGACACAGCAAAGCATGCTGCTAAGAAAAAGGTCCTAGATCACAGAAGGCAGAAAACTCACTTGCTAATGTTTAGCCAATCACAGACCAAGGCACACCTGCAAAATGGCTTTTACTTGTTGCCCCACTGAAGTCATGGTTGACAATAAGGAGCATTCAGAAAGTGTCACTTATTCTTTAAAGAGATCTTGGTGGTGCTGGGGAGCATATACTCCTTTGTGTTTGAGTCACCATGTAGTCCAGGCTGGCCTTAAACTCACATGGAATCTTCTGCCTCCTTTTCTTGAGTGCTGACATTAGAAGCATGAGCTACCATGTCTGACTGTACATATATTTTTAAAATACTGTTTTCAGCCAGGTGGTGGTGGCACACACCTTTAATCCCAGCACTCGGGAGGCAGAGGCAGGCAGATCTCTGAGTTCAAAACAGACCAGCCTGGTCTACAAGAGCTACTTCCAGGACAGCCTCCAAAGCCACAGAGAAACCCTGTCTCGGAAAAAAAAAAAAAAACAACTATGTTTTCATACAGGGTCTTCACTATGTAGCCCTGGCTGGCCAGAAACTCAGTTTGTAGACCAGGTTGTCCTCAAAATAACAGGGATTCGGTTGTTTCTGCCACCCAAGTACTGGCATTGTAGGCACATGCCAAACCTAACCTAGTTATTTGTTTTATTTTTACAGTATAGAGAAGTCGGTCTTCTCTTTCCACTTCACTGAGTCAAGGTCTCTCTTATTTTTCCTGTGCCTTGTGCTATCTGGCTCCTGAAATCTCAGGGGCTTCTTCTATCTCTGCCTTCCATGTCACTTAAGAGCACTAAGACTACAGGTGTGAGCTACTGTATCCAGCTTTGTCACATGGGTTTCTGGTCACTGGTCTTCCCTGGCAAGTGCTGTTACCCAGTGAGCCATCTCACACATATTCTACTTTTTTTTTTTTTCGAGACAGGGTTTCTCTGTAGCTTTGGAGCCTGTCCTGGAACTGGAGCTGTAGAACTACCTATATATAGATGCTTCCCCAAGGCCAGAAGAGGTCAGATCACCTGGAGTTACAGGTGGTTGTAAACCCTCTGATGTGGCTGCTAAGAACACAACTCTGGT